GATATTGGTCCGATTCTAATCCCAGAATTTATCATGAGGTTCATACACAGCAGCCACAAAAATTAAATGTTTGGGCTGGTATTTTTGGCGATCATTTAGTTGGTCCTATTTTCTTACCTGGAAATTTGACCAGTGAAATGTATTTGGAATTTCTGGAAGACGCCATAGATCCTGCATTAACAAGCCATAATTGATGTTCTACATTACGCATTACGCATTACGTGTTCGACAATATTTAGATCAGACGTTTCCAGATCGATGGATTGGTAGAAGAGATGCCACTGAATGGCCCCCAAGATCGCCAGATTTATCACCTTTGGATTTCTTTATGGGGGGTCGTTTAAAAAGCAAAATCTATGCTACTCAGCCAACATCATTAGAAGACCTGCGCAAAGAATTGTGAATAAGTGCCTTCCAATTACTCCTCAAATATTGCAAAATGTGCGGCAACGTTTTGAGCAAAATCTTTATTATTGCATGGGGAGTCATGGTAGCCATTTTCAACATTTACTTGCCTAACGGGTCAGTTCATTCTTCATTTCTAAATTACTTTGCTGCCAAATGTATTGATCTCCACTAATGATGATGTATTAGTTTTATTTAAGCTTTAAATCAATAAATCTTCAAAACTACTTAACTGAAGTACATTAATTTTGTATCATTATAAAGGGAATTGAAAGACCTTTAAAATAAGGTATCACTCGATCCTCCTTTCCATTTAAGATTTTAGGGTGGTGTCACCCCCGCCCACGGGGCTGCACGTATTAACGTGCTTTTTGCCAAACTTGTGTCGCCCTCGAAAACAAAATCGACGGGTCTGAGCGTTTTTCAAAAAAACTGAGCTGCTAGTAAATGCGTCTGTTTCGATTTCGATGCTCCAACCTAAATAAATAAAACGTGAATCAAACTGGTAAGCAGGATAATTGCAGATTGTGCGATGATACTTGCTTTCAAGGAGGTTAACATAAATTCAAATAGATACTGATAGCAGCAATTACCTTACTACGAATGTTAGGTAGAATTCTTATTGCTATTGTGTATCCTTTCGTTTCAATTTTCGTTTTTATTGTTAGCACAATGCCGCGAAACTTTATCGAAGTCGACAATTGTTGCGTGACTGATAATGGTATCTTTTGTTTCCCAGTAATGCTGGTTAAGTTCCAAAATGTTTGAATTAAAAAAATGCCAAAGCTTGGCTTTTAAAAATCATCAAGTACTAAAATAGATATAAAAATGTTGATGAATTTAGTGATCTTAAAGTATAAGTTGATTTCAAGGTCGAATGTACCCTTGTTGGCCACTCATCCCTTCGTGGATGTCGTTGTTGTTTAGTGACAGCATCCACCAAAAAATTAAATAAAATATAGGATTTCAGGTAATGACGACATTCACCAATTTTCAACATTAGAATCACTATCAAGCTGGAATTGCATTCACTTTTTTATGAATTAGAGAATAGAGTGCAACTTCGGCTTCCCCATCCATGCTGTTATTTTATGCCACGTTGGTATATTTACGATACAGTCTCATCTATAAAATAGAGCAAAATATGTACATCGTTCTGCATAAATAAGTATCGACGAAAAACCTTATGCACGCGTATAAAAGAGGGAACTCAACAGATGTTCGAGATGTTTACCGCAATATAAAAGGGTTCAGGGACATTTCCCAGACACAGAATTGGATATCTGGAGAGAGAGAGAGAGGGAGAGAGAGAGGGAAGGAGGAAAAATAATATAGCCTTAGCGATCGTATTGCTAGACAGTAATATACTAAGTGACATATAAGTCGGAACACCCAGTTTAAATGGTTTTATTTTAATAAAAGTTGGTGAATGTATTTATCTTACTGTAAATAAGAAGTGAAAGAATTTTCAGCCTTATCAGTTGGACATTCCGGTTTTTATACTGCTTTTCTTTAATTCACTAATGCTCTAAATATGAATATTTCAGCTGCAGTAAATGATCAACGTTGGCGGATTTTGGTTCTTGACATCCTTTACGATCGGTTACGATGCCTAGAGTACGGAGACCTGTACGATTTCGTCAACTTAGTGAGTTTGATAGGGGCCATATAGTGGGACTTCGGGAAGCAGGACTTTATTTTCGGGCAATTGCAGTTAGAGTGCAAAGAACTGTAGACACTGTGGTTAGGTGTTGTCAAGCATGGCTTCGAGAAGGCCGTACGCAAAGAGCAAGGGGCACTGGACGCCGCCGTAGAATAACAGACCGTGAAGATCGCCGCCTAAGATTATTGGCCTTAAGGGACCGTTTCTCCACTACCAGGTCCATTGCAAATGAATGGTTTGCAGAACACGGAAGACCTATTGGCACGCGAAGTGTTTACCGACGAATGAGAAGTTTTGGCTTGTTTTCATACCGGCCACACTGAGTCCTCCCTTTAACTCGAGAACACCGACGTAATCGCCTTGAGTGGTGCAGACCACGGTCACTCTGGGATCAGGAATGGAACAGTATTGTCTTTAGTGACGAGTCTCGATTTTGTTTAGGCTTGCACGATGGTCGTGCCAGGGTTAGAAGGCGACGTGGTGAAAGGAGGAATCCACAGTTTTTTGTTGAAAGACATGTTCATCACACTGTTGGAGTTATGGTTTGGGGTGCTATAGCTTATGGATCCAGGTGACCTTTAATCTTCATCACTGGTAACATGAACGCGCAGCGTTATATCCACGAAGTTCTAGAACCCCATCTTTTACCATATCTTGACACCCTGGCAGATCCAACTTTCCAACAAGATAATGCCCGACCACATGTTGCAAGAGTCACAATAGACTTCATTCAACATAATGATGTCACATTGTTACCATGTCCGCCAGGATCTTCCGACTTATCCCCAATTGAGCTCGTGTGGGATAAGATGGGTAGGAGATTGCTCAATTTGCAACGTCCTCCTCAGACTCTAGAAGCACTTCGAGAGGAGTTGGTGGTTGCCTGGAATGAGATACCACAGGAGAACATTGACCACCTGATCAGAAGCATGCCTAGGCGCGTTGGAGAATGCGTAGCACATCAGGGTGCATCCACACATTATTAAAGGTCAAATGGCTTTAAAGCAGTGCAATCATTTTGAAATTTTTATCACTTACTTATTATGCTTCGTTAAGTACTTATACAAAATTTTATTAAAATGAAACCATTTAAACTTTCATCATGAAAACTATTTTGATATAATGTACCAAGCAATTTTGTATTACTTAATTAATTGTTTGCACAGCTGCCAGTAACTGCCTGTGACTGACAGAAATTTGCTCATAAAAACAGTGGATAGAATACTTTTTGGGTTCGCTGAAATTGAATCCAGAATCGGCATGTCCCGTTGTCGAAATAATAATAATAATTTATTTGCCAAAAATACAGATTGCTATAATTTGTTGCCAGTACAGGAGCAACAATCACGAGTTAAAGTACTGGCACGAAAGAAAATGCACATAATGTAATGTGGATGGAAGCCTATCTCCTGAGTGTACCGATAACAAGAACGGCTCTTACGTATGGTAAAGTCGCATATTCCTGCATTTTTTCGATCTATAATATGATTGAAAACGAAACCAAGGACGTCTAGAATCACTTTAAATTTCGTGTCAGCGACCCAAAATAGTAATCTAATTGTATGTTTTCTCACTACTATGATGTATGACTACATTTAATTTGATTAGACTGAATTAATTTTCTACAAAATAATAATAAATTCAGAATATAACTTGCAGCACGTTCACTTGTTAACGAAAAGAAAAACTGAATGCGAAACCTGAAATTTTGAGTTCCCAAAACATCTGTAGTTCAGCTTTAAGCATTATTTCGTAAAATGTTGACAAAATGAAAAAATAAAAGAATTGTTAAGTTTTTTGTCAATAAACTGCTAAGAAAAAGATGTATGAATAAATACATTTTTGTTAGTAAAAAAGGTACACAATCGATCTATTTTGCTTCTTAATTAGCACCATTCATTGGCCTTTCCTGTCCATGGTCAGATATTGCAATATTTAGCCTAAAAGGCTTGTTGATAAAAAACAAGGAGTGGAAATAATTGAGTCCGGCCCTTATTTTTTCGGTTTAGTTCTACGTGACTCCCAGGTAAATTTGTTGTTGTGCCAAATTTTACCAAAATTGGTTAAATAGTACCTGATCGATGTGTTATTATAGATTTGGCGAGTTTAGATGCATGTCCGTGAAATGACAGTAGAACTTTTTTATTATCAGATATGAAAAGATCTCGATTCGTACTACCTACCGTTTCACTATGTCCATTTAAGTAGCATGACAGCACCTTTCCAAAAAATAACGGATGTCTTGGGGAAGCCCAAATATGATATTACAACCCTTTCTCTGTTTATGATAGTCATTTGTTTTGCTCTATTTCCCTAATTAGCCGTTTATTACAAGCCTGACATGTCATTAAGGAAACAGAATACGTAGATTAAAGTAATCATAAAGTTCACAGCTTCATTAAGAGGTAGCTTTGCACACTCTCGACTAAAAGACATTTAGTTGATGATCTGCATGTTTCGTAACACCCCTTGCAGCTACCTTTAGTACAAACTTATTAAAGCTTAGAGGATACTGCTTCCTATATTTACTAGAATTTGTCATTTTAAGAGACATGTTAGGCTATAGTAAGATATTCAGCTTACATTCTGACTTAGAACGTCAACATAGCATGTACAGTACTGCAAATAGGATTTCGAAGCACTCAACATTTTAGGATTTTTTTTTAATGAAGCACTACTGTACTTTGGATATTGTCTTTGAAGTCATCGATGTTCTTCAGAGAATTGTTTGAAGCTAAGCGCTTGGGATATCCAGAGGAAGAGTAGTTGATGTCAAATCTGGAAATTGCAGTGGGCACGCAGTCACCACAACAGCCATTTCTCCACAGGTCAGGACAACATTATGCAGACGTGAATTAAGGAAGATGAATATGCTTGATACACTGCATTTTTGCGCACAGGGGTAGGGAAATAAAACGAGTAGACTCAATAATGGAGGACATATAATACCAATGACTAGTACATGATAGGAGAAATCTTACCTATAGATAAATAACATTACCAGCAACAGTATTTGAAATTAAAGCTCTATAACATTTTGTTTACAAGGCAAATTTTATACAGTATTTTCCCATTGATTGTATTGTATAGCATATAAGGGACATTGGTCATTTGTCGTTTTATACTTGTACAATTTACAATAATGAAATTGAGTGACCGAACGAACATGTTATTAACAATAGCGTTGACGCCAGAATCTATAAAATTGTACACTTCAGCAAGCCGGTATAGAGGGTGGTCTGTTGTAACTGGGTCAAAACTAAATCATGGACTAGGCTCGTAAGAATGAAGGTATTGGATCAAAACGCCCCGCTAACGTGGATACCATTTTTTGTTATTAATGTTATCAAATGTATCTTATTTTTGAGTACAGTATCCAGATGGCGCTGGTAATAGCATACAATCTCGTTCTCTGCATTCAAAAATGCAATGCTTTCATTTTGTTCATTTTCAAAATATGTATTTTCATTTCAAAATTATATTGCACAATCGAATGGCTAGCTCAAAATGTCTAGCCCACCACACATTAGTCTCGTTACTCAGGGGAGTGCTCACCATACCAGGAGCTTTGGCATACTCTGCAATGCATTTTTCGTCTAGAACGTATCCCACTTTTAAAGATCTTAAAACGAGCTATTCGATGGTGAGGTTGAATATTGGAATTCAAGTTTCTCGAGGCCCGGCTGTTTAATACAACTGGATAATAGCTATTTCTCTTAAAAATAATCTCTACCATAATTTCTATAAGACATTCTACATAGAACAGTATTGTCAAGAGGGTTGTGGCATGGAATAGAAAGTTTGTAGGATTGTTACTTGCGCTTTTTGCTTACCTTATTGAAAAGCAGAATTTAACCGTATATACCATCCTCGAGAAATTTTGATTTCCAAAATTCATATGGATATTATTATGACATATAGAGAAATAATTAAATTTCAGAATCTTGCATCTCAACGTCATACTTCTGACGAGTTTACTTGCTGTTTGGCGCTTGAACGATGAACGATAGACCACCCTGAATAGACAAACTGATGACATGACAATAAATTCTTTGTTGCATGAATCACAAATGCTACCCTTATGGATAATCGATGATTTTCAAATAATTTAATTTTAATTTTCACATCCAGCAAGTCAACATAATATAATATTAAATACCATTTGGATAGCGTTGCGCGTTGATAAATAGTTCAGGATTCATGACACTGAGGAACTGGCAGTATAATAAATTAGTTATATACGAATTCGAAATCACATTTGGCTGACGCATAAGCTGCGAGTGTACTAATTCAGATCGAACGCGAAATGTGTATTGATTCATATGACAAGTTAAGGACGCTTGTTTCTATACGAAGGGTGTCCATGCAGCTTCGTGGAACTGCAGCGATTACTTACGGTTGACGGGAAACGATTATTAGAATTTGGCGTTATGATTGATCAGTTCGGTCGAAACATTTCACTTAAAACTGTACCAGGAGTAGATATCAACTTGCTTATTTTAAATATAGTACCATGTAAGGCCGGTGGATCATGGAAGGTCCCTATAACAAACATACTCCTTCCTTTAAGGAATAAATGGAGAAGTGAATTATTCAAAAATATTTTGCTTTATCATGTAATTCCTGAAACACATTTTATTGCAGATTTCATCAGTACTTAATGAACTTGCAAAGGACAACGCTCCACACGATACCCATATAATACATCAATCGTTTAATTGAAAACTAACATTATGATTAACATGTTACCTATGAGCTTTATCGTGAAATAAAAAAAAATATCAGGTTGACCAACCTTCATATGGGTAAAAAAATTAGTGAATATTAAGGTGGTACAAATAAAAAACCGGTATAATGTACTCGACTTTTCCGTATAACTAAAAACTAAGTATTGATATTTTTGTTTAGAATAAGGCTGGCAATTTTTTTGGCTTTACGAGTAACCATTGGCTCAGGAAAACTACCGATATTTTGAATAAGATGGAAATAAAATATTTTTTTACCACAGCAAATATTTATACTGGATGTTCCAAACTGAGCGCCAATACGTAAGGGAGATATTTTTGGGTCCATTTTAAGAAGAAAACTTGATATGAACGTATGTCCTAAATGTCTTAGCCTTTAAGATACAAGATGGTGAAACATTCAATGATAAATAATTTAATATAAATATCTATTAATACGACATTAGATAATTTGATGAATTTAGCATGCATGTGTTAAGATACGCTTTTTTAATTTCTACCATAGGACTTCGTACGGAATTTTACTTGCCTATTTTGACAGACACTGATGGTACGCCACTGATTTCGTTCAGATTTAAAATTCTTCTTGAAGTCCCCAATCATTTTATTGCCGATTTGAACACCTGATTTCTTTGAATCCGATACACGGTTTTCGTAAAATCGTTTCTCTGCACGATCATAAAAGCATACTTAATATGACATCATAATGCAGAGAGATATCTTATTTTAGGTAAAAACCGCGCGTCGTACTAAACACATTCAGGAGATCAAATCTACTCATGAATTAATGGATATTATTTTTTTTAATTGCCATTGACTGTCTATATTAAAAACTTTGGGAAGCCGTATCTGAGAGGCTAAGCCGTTTAGGACACATCTTCATAAGAAGGCTCAAAGATTGCCTCCTTCTGACGTTCAATCAGGAAACATCCCGTATGTCAATTCAGAGAGAAAAAAAATAGAAGCGAATAATATATCAAGCTGTAGTCGAGCCGCACATAACATATGGTATAGTAATATGGGCTGCTGCATGCACAACATACCTTAACCATTTAGATGTGGTACAAAGAACAATTTTAAAATCAATGTTTGGCAAATCAAAAGTATGCCCAACTGATGACTTGTATAACGATGCACAAGTACATAATACTCAACAACTTTACTTCTTACATACCGTCACTCATTATGACAAAATTATTAGTGAACGCGACATAACTAGTCATAACACCAGATACAAATTACGCGCAAAAAATGTTCCTAAACCAAATAAATCTTTAATGAAACGATGTCACCTGTATTTAGTTACAAAATTGTACGAACATTTACCAGATAATTTAAAACCATTACGCAATACATTAGGTTTGAAAAAAATAAAAAATATATATTAACACGATTTGGAGAAATCACATTAATATACTAATATCTAATATTACATAATAAATGCTCTATCATTCTTACCAATAATTTTTTTCTCTACTCTTCTTTTATCTTTTGCAATTCAACATACATATGATCCACGCACAGGCGTTGTCCCCCTATGGATATACGAGTATTATATTGATTTACTCGTTTCATGTTCCCTGTATTTTAGAGTAAATAAATATTATTATTATCATTATTATTTACCTGAAAACCTACGTTTTGTTGCAAACTCGTATTATAATCCTTTCGTCGTCGACGAGGAGCATGGCCGTCCATTGTTCACTCACCTTATTCCACTGATTTTTTAATAATATACAAGGTCTTTCATTCAAAAGAAGCTAGTCGGAATCTATTTCCGGTACAACCGAAAGTGCCACCATTTTCGAGATGTTCCACTATACTCCCAAAACTTCACAAGCTTTGTTCCAGCAAACCATCGGAACAGTTCTGAACCGAACACAGCATGCGCAGATCGAAATCGAACAGAAAATGGAACTCACCCGTAACAGGCAGTTCTTTGTTCCAACAAATTCCGAACTGGTTCGAACTGCTTCCAACAGTTCTGGTTCTGAGAGAGAACTAAAAGTCTTAATTTGATAATGTATGCGCGTTTACAGAACGAATGGCGTTCATAGCTGGGTAGCTGGATTTTATTGCTGTCATGTGCTTTTCTAACTCTTGATTTTTTTTAATATATCAAACCTAAATCTTAACTACTGATGTTTATGTCACGAGACGATTACGATTACTTTGAAATAAATGTAAGAGAAGTGGGAGTTCCAAGAATATCAAAAATGAAAGTTACATTGTCAAGTGTGGATGATTTTAATAAATTCGTAATTTTAATCTTATATATCATTTCAAGTTAACCAACAGCTCAGCGTTCTTAACATTCCTGTGCTACTGGCTTTTCTAAAGCCAAAATGCTCGAAGAAGGCTAAGCTTCCTACTATTCGCTTAGAACATTCCGCATTATTCATCTCTTGTCAAATCGGCCATCTCGTTTTCAAAGTAAAAAAATACAGTCCTTCGAAAAACAGTAAATCCTCTAAAATTTCATGTCTAGCATACGGGAACTGGATACTTTTATCTTTTACTTCAATGAATTCTATACTTGCGACAACAAGCCATTCAGTTCTCTGGTGCAACGCAATTCGTCCTGCACTAGTTCGAAAGTGACTATTGGAACAAACCTAAAATTATCTCAGATTTTTTATAATCGATTACTGTAACTTGTATAGTACTTGAGGCAACATACTATACAACTTTAACCATGTTTATTCGCATCTTCAAATATCAACGTCAGAAGCTAAGTGATCATCCTTCTGGCTCGATGCAGAGGCCACTTGTCAGGGTAACATATTTCGGTCTGCTTTAAAATGTATAAGGGTGACGGCCCGGAAAGAAAGGGGAAGTCGATGTTTAGGGTATCACCATAAATAGATATAAAATTTTAATGTGACCTTTTGTTTGATACATTTTAATATTGATGCTTTTCTCCGTCCAATCAACCATATACAGCGCTGTTTCATTGTTATTGGATATCATCAGTACCGTATAGGTTCTGACGCAAAGAAGTTGAACATGGTACTGTACCATAGTCCCCTGTATCAGCCGTGTTGCAGAAAATGTTGCAATCGCTAACCCAATGGCAGCAAATTACACATCAATGATTAAAATAATTGTTTGAAGCGTTGTGAATCACAATACAATAATGAACTGCCTTTTGTAAATGAAGCATCAGTTGGTTTCTGTGGCATAGGTCACCTTTGAAGCACATAATGAAAACACGATATGTATATTTATGTATGTACAAAAACAAGACCTAACAATCGCAAGCAAGCATTGCTCCTTCAAATTTCAAATTAATTAACATAACACTAAGATTAGTTTCTAGCTCTAGCGCATATGTATCTTATATTCAATACTTTTGACAATCATTTCTATAGTTTCTTTTCAAAAATGTACATTGTTCCGATATGCTAACTTTTTAGGGTAAAATGATATGTCACTTTTTTTCTTTACATACAAACTGGTATATACACTGTAGCATTTTTCACATCGTGCTGAAAATACATATCTCCATTTAGTATAAGGTGTGACAAATCCTAGTGTTTAAGACGCTACGAAATTGCTGAAAAAGCACTGAAAATTACACAGGTCGAATAAATTGAGACGATCCAGTAACCCGATTTTACAGGGTGTAAGGGTAAGATACAAACCAGTCAGTTACATATCGGCCACCTTGTACTTTCGAGAAGGTTTTTGATGCTCTCCTCAGAAACGATGCTCCAAATATGTCAGTTGGCTCCAATTAGATAGATATTCTAGCCCAAAGGTGCAAACATAGCGATTTCTGTCTTTTGCTCACAACTTAGCACACAGAATCGTAACGTGTATAGTGAAATTCAGTCAAATTAAAATTGCAAAATGCAATATCTGAGCAAAATAAAAAATATTTAAGGAAACTCAACGACATTCGAAAGGGTTGTACTTTAGATGATATCTGTGATTTTTTTGAAAAAATTCGCAATGCTATTTAACCTCAAATATAGGCAAAAATCGCATTCGCATGATTAGATTAGGATATCTTGGAAACTAAAGCCGGATTCAGATTCAGCGCATCACAGACCTCCAGGAAGTATTTCTGGGTACGAGGGTTGTCTCACTTTTATCGGCATGGGTCTTGCACAATAGTAAAATATGATGATTTCTTATACAGTTCAACACATGGTGCGGAAGCGGAAAAAATTATTATGTTACCTGACAGACTAACGAGGATGATCTGTCATCGAACATTTAAAAAAAAAATACATGGTTAGACACTAGAGTTATTCCATTAAAGCAATTCCAAAAATGTTACCTCTCTCCAAACAAGTATTTGCAAGTTAGTGCTTTTCTTCAAGAGTCAAAATTGTTCATAGAATTTGCTGGTATATGGGAAACTGACTTTACCTGTTCATATTTTTGGAGAGAGCTGCTAGGATATAATATGACAATAGAAGCATAAATGTAAAAATATGATTCTTATGATTTCTCTGGACGATATGCTACGTTTGTCAATTACCTTATCTTTTAAATAACGAAAAATAATAAACACGAAGCCTAAATAATAGTACTTGTTAAATAGACTGTCAAGGTACACAACGACAGGCGTGAAATCAAAACCAAATCAGTTTTTTTACAAAGGTTAGATAAAAGATATGCCTATAAATTTTGACAAAATTACATATGTTTCAATACCACTATCATTTGTACGCAAAATGGCCCATACGGTTTCACGCTACAGCTGTGTACCTCAAGAATATGTACTCACAATAGCTATAGAGTTTGCTTTAGAATTGGATCCAACAGTTAAATAGTCTGATATGGGCGAGACCCAAATATGTTGGGCTTCAATCAGATTACACAGTAACACAGTTAGTACTCCAATTTTGTTACCACTTCATCGTGGACCCGATTTTAAAGCAGTGCTCCAGGTAAATGAGTTACAAGCTTGGCAGATGATCGTGCAGGTATTTTTTAGATAGATCACAAACTGTAAAGCTCTGGATTTATCTCAGGTTCTACTCGTACAAAGTGTTTACAGAATACGATGCAAAGGTTAGTGGGGTTTTGTCTCATACTGTTCTGGGAATACTTTGTCGCTCACTGATTTTCGAAATATCGCTCTATTCGACTCTAAACAGTGGATACCACATTGACGATTTATACTATTACAACAAAATATGTCGAAGCTTAGAGAAGGGATGTTTGCAGGATGAGCACCTCGAGAAATACAGAGACTATATGAACTTCTGGAAACCAAATACGTACGGTCAATGGTTTTATTATAGGTAAGCTCCCTTCACTCACATGTTGGTTAAAATTGTTTAAACAGAAGGTGTCGATGGCTTGGGAAACCGAATATTTGCTGAATGGACACCTCGAGATATGACCTTGATGTTTATGATTTACCTTGAACATAACAAGGAAAAGCGACTCTTCAGAGTACTTCTGGAACAGGTCAGGGACTATTCAAATTGAGGAAACTTCTAGAAGCCAAATAAAGATGTTCACGTGTCTCATTATTGTTTCACTCTATTCAATCGAATCAGGACCTGCATGATCACCAACCTAAGCTCTGCTGCAACTCTTCCCAGATCACTAAAACACTACAATTCATCTCTAATACGTCTTAGGCGCCACAAGTTCCGCCGCCACTGCTGTAGTGCTAGTGGACGCTACTTGCGCTACGACCATTGGAGCCGTAGCTGCGGCCAACGGAGGCGGGGACGCGCCTGGCTGCGCTGCGGGCGTAGCTGTACTGACGATGCTTAGCGCGTGCATGATACTGCCGTTAGCACCGCCACGGCCGCCCCCCTCCATGACTCGTGCTGCAGAGGCCATCAACTCTTCCAGCTCCTGGAAAGAACGGAGAAAGTGTTGAGCTGGTAGAATTTTTACAAATGCAAACAGCCCGACTGCAGTAGCTAAAAGGAATTACTGTTTAATTGTGCTGCCAAGAGATCAGCTCAAATGTCAAAATTCATCAAGTCGTTTAAGCCCTAACCCATGAAATAGAAATTTTAAACATAACATTTTAGATTTACATCCGCCATTTTGATCTCATAAAATTTAAGTTTAACCAGTGTCATAGGCACTGTTAGAACATTGATCTACAGACACCTCATATGTCAAAATTCATAAAGCCTTTTAAGCTATAGCGCTTGAAACAAGAATTTCAAGGTTGAATTTTTCTGTAAGAATCTGCCATTTTGTTTTTATAAAATTTAAATATAGCCAGTGTCACTAGCACTGCTAGACGAATCCAACAGCATCTCACATCCCAAAGGCCAGGAAGCCGTTTAAAATGCAGCAAGTTAAATAGGAATTTCCAGGTTGAATTTTTATTGAATTCCGACATTTTGTTTTTATAAAAACTGGATATAGGCATATCCAGTTGCAGTACTAAGATGAATTCAATAACTCTGCGTGGTAGGTGCAGAGTCAACATATTTGATGTCATGTTTTCCTCTCTGTACGGGAATGATTTGGAGAATAATTTCCACTTGGGCAGGGAAAACCCCTCAAATGTCTTAACGGGTACCATCAAAAGGATTTTGAGATATACCGTTATCAATCGCAATACCTTATTGAGAAGCATCACTACTTTTCCTAGACATATAATGGAAACAAAATAATGATACTAATGTCATTTGAAATGTTGTTCTGTGATTAACATTGTATGTGTGTGTGGGCGTGTGTTTGAAAACTGACTATTCTCCCATAATAGACATAATGTCTGAAAGCAGCTTATAAGGTTGTCAAAAAAGAAACATTCGTACCTTACTTTCTTTTGATGCACATCCAAGAAATTGAGATATCTCTGTTTAAAAAATGTATACATATTAACTAAGCTTACTCATAAATGAGCTCTTAATATCTCCGGACGTAATGGGCTCAACTACAATTTTCAAATAGCAGTCAATAGATCTCAACGTGGTGCATTAGAGGTTGCAATTAAGCAAAAACCTAGCACCTCCAGTAACTAGGTTCATCAATTAAAGCTCAGAGCTGTACCTAGTTTTCTTACCTTGTCATTACGTGACGTTGCTGAATCAGGTGTTCCTGTGAGGCCATCTCTACCATTTTCCATAAAGTCATGATCAACATCTCCATTTTCCTCTTCGGTGTCCATAGAGGTATGTTTCTGGTTATCCTGGAACAATAAAGACTAATTTAACGAAAAAACGGTGGATGAATTCGCTATGCCTTACTGGAAGTGAACATTGTTATTCAAAAATGTGACCAAATATTCCACATCTACAATCTTATTTTGAAAGATGGTCAGTCAGTACCATTCTGGTATAGAATTCACACTTTTCATGAAAATGGTGGGCGCCTGCAATGACTTCCTCCTCCTCAAGTAACACAGGCCCACAAAATGAAAAGTCGGTGGGTGCTTGGGGTGAAACTATGTTTTTCTCATTTACTTTTTCACGCTGAACACGAATCTGAAATTTGGGGTCGGTGAGCAAATATGACAGTGATTTGGCATATTTGGTGAACAAGCACCTCTTGAGAGATATTATGTTTTTCCTTTCTTTCTTATATAAAAAATACAATCAATTGTTAATTGGGAAATTGAACATTTTTTTAGGATTTAATAAACTCCTTTAACGGTAATCTAGAGCTTTCGGCGTTCTCTATGGAGCCATCTCCAGGAGCTAAAAACACAAATATGATGCTAGTAACCAATATGGGAATGATTTAAATTTTTAGCCATCTTACTGGTCGCTGAGGTTGCAGCCAAATAGTGTTTCAAAACGAAAGGTGGACGGACACATTGGGTTTATTGATAACGACGGAAACCATCGTTAGGTATTAACACTATATATCAATACACCCGAACACATTAAAGATTTTCGAAAAGCAATTTTGGGGGAAAAACTGGCAAAGTTCCTTCTAACCTCCTACATCTGTTTCACGTGGAGAAAATGAGCGAACCGGAAGGGTGATGCATCGACAGATGACAGATGATTTTCGCGAAGGAATGTGGAAATGTAAATATCATTGCCAAACTTCAGGTATAGTGTATACGAGGGACGCTCGGTAAGAACTCATCCTAATTCCCAAAATGCTGGATTAAATTTGTTCTGGAAAAAGTGTTATTCATATGAGTGTACGAGTGTAAAATAGTGATACATGCTTGAAAAGATGGGTTGTATGAAAATATATTGAAATTTTATTATTATCGTAAGGGCAATGTTTCTACATATGTATGGAATATATTATGTGGATCCGACAACTGAAGTCAGAAAAGTAGAAGGTCTTCGTAGTTAAAGCTTTGTTGTTCAGAAATACAGTCACAACTATATTTTATGGAGAAGACACGATCTGCATCAAAACAGAGGCTAATAGTTTTTTCGCTTGACATTTTCAAGCGAAGCTTTAAGTAACTCGACACACTAGGTTTTGTAATTGTATATATTATTGAGATCAATCAAACGCCCAAAAAATTGAGATACCTCTCTAATAATAAGATTTACAATTTTCCAATACCAATCAATAGATCTCAACGCTATGCCTTAGGATATGCGATAAAATCGGGTTACTCACTTTTTCCATCGAAGAGCAGGTGTACTTAGGTTTGATACTTGGTACCGGACTCAAATGGAAGCACACATTCAAAAATAAAAGGAAGGACAACGTCCCCGAAGAGCAATTTTAGTGGTTATTAGGAATATCCACAAAACTATCACTCAATTACAAGATCATGATGCATGATCAGATATTTGGACTTGTACACAACTATGGAGCTGTTCCAAGGATTCCTACATGGACATTTTGCGAATGTCCCAAAATCAAATTCTGAGGACCATGGTCAATGATCCATGGTATGTTCGTCACAGAGATATTCATTCAATCTAAACATCGATGTAATTAGAAACTAACTAACTGAACTATATGCTAACCCCCTAACCTGACGACGATTGTGGAAACACGTCAGTCATCTGCCATATGCTTCAGTATATAGGTCATTTCACGGTTTTTCGCGGGTCGCACTAAAAACAACTGGCATCACATATACAGGGTGTCCGCAAAGTTGGGGTTTTCCTTTTCAGAAACAACTACCCTTGAAATAACAAAGGTAATGTGTAGTGAAACGAGGGCGACCAAGTAAAAAAAAATAACGAAAAAAGTACTCACTCTCCAGTTAACGAGAAGGGCTAAGTACGTCTCTGCCCGAAATCATACCGCTCCAACAGAAAATGAAATATCAGCTGATACGCTGCCGAGCAGACGCCGGCGGTGGTGCAGACCAGTAGACCACGAACAGAGGTAACAAATATGACCATCGTGCAGAAACCACATTGATTGTCTTAAACTTAATAGCACATCTTCTAACAAGGAAGGCAAAATGTTGCGAAAAAGTTAAGAAAAATTGCTTATGTTTTCAAGATCTACACGACGTGTAAAGGAAACCCCCAACTTTGCGGACACTGTATATTCATATCCCTGGTACACATATGCAATCTGCCCCTGTATGCGGACATTTATTTGTGTAAGCCCGGACATACGTTCTTTAGTTTTGTACCACCTCTTCGAAAGCTTTCTCGCCGACGCGACGTATGAGTATTCTTAATCTATTTTCGTCACTGTCAGTATGACAACCCACTGAATATCGGCGTACCATTTGAGTTTACTTTTTATAGATCTTCTTGATGTAAAATATAAGTTATATAGCGAGAGCCCCTCGTATATCTTCCTAATCGGTGTACTTATATCTTATCTTAGTAAACAACCCTATGTTATATATTGATGGTTGTGCCCTTCAGGCATCAGTTCAATCCTATTGCTCTTCAATTGAACTCACTTATATTGTATTTCTATTAGAATAAAGTATCAAATCGCTTGTAAGTCGTTTTAAAAAAAAACGATTCCGCGACGCGATACCTTCATTTATAACTAACGGGCAATATCGATAGCCAGTAGCCAAGTTATGGAAGTATTTTAGAAAAGTGAATAAAAGCAATGATCCTTCCTTTATTAACCAATTTGTGTGTGCAAAAGGAGCTGCGTTTAAGCTCGGTTTGTCCAGTGTGCATCTTTCTTACGGAGCTTCAATCGTAAACTATAGTTTAGTTTGGCTACTGTTACTGGCTGCTAGTGATGTAACGAATGTCATTTTTTGAACATTCGCGAATGCGAATGCCAATATTCAGTTTTTGTTCTGGCGCCAATTGTCTATGGCAGTCTCGTTCGACCAAATGCGTTTGGTTTGTATTTGAAACTGAAGCCGAAGACACCCAAATAGATAAACAAGTATATCTGAAAGAATGAATGAATTGGCTAAAAGCTGGGATCGACAGTGAAGAGGAACCCTGTTCATATTTTAATTCATAAAACTGTCACATGATACTCAACAGAAAAACGAATGGCAAATGACGTCGGCCCTCTAACTTGGTGGAAAGTGAGCAAGGAAAGATACGGTATTCTGTTTCCTGTAGTTCGGCATTATATAACCACCAGTGTCCTGAGCAAGCGCATATTTAGTGGCGCTGGACTTATTTACACACCACACCGAAACAGACTTGAAAGAGACAAGGCGTCCAAGCTTTTATTTTTTAAGTTTAATATTCCTCTACTGCAGTTTAATTATTAACTTAAATGTTATTTGTTAAGAGATAAGTATTTTTGTTTAAAAGTATATATTTTTTTTTGTTTTCTTTGTTTAGACTATATTTATAGTTTATTGTATAAGAATATGGTTTTGTTTTGATTATGCATTATATTTTTCAGTTTTATTCAAGATGATGATTATCGAAACAGTAAGTTAAAGACTGGCGATGGTTTCATAGACGAATTGGTTTTTCTTTTTTTCAATTGCATTTAATTTTTATGGTAGGAGTTCTAATGAGAATTTAATTTTTAAGCTTTATTAAAGTAAAATAAATAATTTTATTTTCGTATGTTTACAGTGTTTACGTATGACTCTTGTAAAAAATGATTATATTTATAGTTTATTGTAGAAGAATACTGAATGTCTTTAATTATTGTTTATGATTTTGTTCAAGAAGCTCATTATGTAACTTAAGTGAAAACTAATAAAACTTTAATAGAGGAATTTGTTTTTGTTTGTTTACATTGCATTATATTTGTTTGTCTTATAAGATCTATGATAATTTGTTTGTTAGGCTTCATTGTCCAAAGTAAAGTGAATAAATAAATAATACCAAATGATTAAGTGAAGACTTACTTATTAACCTACCATTATCTAATTATTGTAGTTTTTTCTGATACTTATATTCGCAAAACATTCGCAGAAACTAACAATTTAAGATGTGCGCCTCCACAATTAGGAAAATTCCATCGACTGTTATAATCTCGTGCAATGTTCTGCCATTCCACAACTGTTCAGGAAACTGAAAATAAATAACATTTTTACTTCATGCTCCAGCTACCACGAAGGCCTAAGGCCCAAACACCTATGTGGTACCGTGGGGCTATAGGGGGATGCAGGGGAAAGGACGGGACGCCCTACGGAGTCTAGGGAGGGAACTCGTGTGCATGCAGAATAAGCACATTCTGGCACCGCTTATGAGATCCGTCGGGTGGTACCTCCGTGTACGACAGTCAGAGACGGTCTACCACCTACGCACAATCACAACATCCCTGGCCAAGAGAAAAATTCCTCTTAGGACGGGATTCGTACCCGCGCAGCGCACGGCGACTGATTAGGAGACCGAAGCGTCTACCACTGCGGCCACTGCTGCTGCCTAAAGGCAACATATTATGTATGTATGGAGGCACAATTTTTTCAAATCAATCTTTTGTTTCAGTGTGAAAATGGTGCAGAACAAATTGATTATAATACTGATATGGAAGACACCAGTTCTTCATTGCTCGACCAAAACGTTTTCTTGCCTTTGTCATAGGCTCTTGTAATAATAATAGTACTAGAAGTGCTGCGAGCATTTTTTCTCAACACCATAGTTAACAACATTGTTGCTCTAGCGGCCGACCACAGCTGACAAAATATTTGCGTGCATGGAGAAGACTCCTGCAGTTCAGAATTTGTCAGTCTCAAAACTGCAGGCAGCGTCGTTTCAAATAACTGAATAGTGTATTGTTCGAGGAAGTTTGAACCTTCAGTTCAGGTTGTTCGGTTCCAGAACTGCATGTAAACTTTATGTGAATCGGTACGTATATAATTCT